CATCCCTCAAAGGGTTTCACCTGTCACGTTTTTGGGTTTCAAGGCTTCTATTTGAGCTTCCTTGATTTGTGTTGACAGATGCAAATGGATCAATGGTTAATGAATTCACTCTTCGACTAGAGTACTCCTTACGACTAAGGGCATCAACAATCACATTCGCCTTTCCCGGATGGTAACGAATCTCACATTCGTAGTCGTTGAGCAATTCGACCCAACGTTGTTGTCTCATGTTTAACTCCTTCTGGTAGAATATGTGTTGAAGGCTCTTGTGGTCTATGAAGATGGTGCACTAGGTACCGTATAGGTAGTGCCTCCAGATTTTCAGAGCGAAGACCACAACTCCAAGTTCTAAGTCATGAGTGGTGTAGCTGACTTCATGTGTTTTCAGTTGTCATGAGGCAAATGCAATAACCTTTCCTCGCTGCATTAGCATATAGCCCAACCCTTTATTCTAAGCATTAGCACAAATCCTCTGGAAGAGAAAGAATGGGTGCACTGCATTGGGCTTGTTTCAGAGTCTGAAATGCAACATCTTGCGTTTATCCCCAGTTGAAAGTCACACCTTTCTGAGTTAGGGAGGTAAGAGGCTTTGCGATGCTGGAGAAGTTCTGAATGAACCTTCGATAATAACCAGCAAGGCCTAGAAATTGGCGAATCTCCGTTGGTGTAGTTGGTGCAGACCAATTTTTGATAGGCTTGATTTTATATGGGTCCACGTGGATTCCTTCTTTGCTGACCATGTGACCTAGGAAGTCCACCTTCCTAATCCAAAACTTGCATTTTGAGAACTTCGCATAAAGTTTCTCAGCTTGTAATGTCTCTAAGACTTGTCTCAGATGTTGACCATGCTCTTCTTTACTCTTTGAATAAATGAGTATGTCATCTATGAATACTATCACAAATTTATCCAAGAATGGACGACATTCCCAATTCATTAAGTCCATGAACACGGCAGGGGCATTGGTTAGTCCGAACGACATCACTACAAACTCGTAATGCCCATATCTTGTTCGGAAGGCCGTCTGGGGAATATCACTCTCCAGGACTCGAAGCTGGTGATATCCCGATCTTAGATCGATCTTGGAGAAGTAGTTGGCTCCTTGGAGTTGGTCGAATAAGTCGTCGATTCGTGGTAGGGGATATCGGTTCTTGACAGTAAGTTTGTTGAGCTCTCGGTAATCCTTTGCTAAGTAGCTCATTTAGTTGGCTGGATAGCTCCTGCATCTCCACTGGGGCTAATCGGTAGGGCACTTTGGCTACCGGGGTAGCTCCGGGAATCAGATCGATATTGAATTCGACTTGTCTTGCGGGTGGTATTCCTGGAAGATCCTCGGGTAAAACATCAGGAAAATCGCATACGTCAGGCACACTCTTGATGTCCTGAACTTCGCGTTTCACATCCACGACATGTGCTAAAAATGCGTGGCATTCCTTGAGTAGGTACTTTTGAGCTTGGATAAACTAGATGATACGAAGAGTGGTACTGGGTTTGTCATGATAGATAATGAGGGTTTCGCCGGTTGGCAGATTAAGGCGAACAGCCTTATCGTAACATAAAATGTCCGCATGATGAGAACTCAGCCAGTCCATGCCTATGATGACATCGAAACTCTTAATCGAGACTGGCATGAGGTTGATTGAAAAGGGATTATCGTTTAGAGTTAGGGTACAATTTAAGTATATCTCCTTAGTGCCTTCTATTTTACCGTTAGCCATTTCTACTATAAATGGTCCACTTAATGATTGGGGTGGTTGATTCAGCAGGCTTTTAAAACTATGACTCAAAAAACTCCTCTCCGCTCCACTATCAAACAAAATGCATGCATACGAGTTATCGAGGAGAAACGTACCCATAACAACAGTGGGGTCTGCAATGGCTTCATCCTGTCCCATTGCGAACACTTGGGCCCTTCCACCGGTATTCCTATTGTTTGCCTTTGGGTAGTCCCTACGGTAGTGCCCCGTGGCTCCGCACTCAAAGCAGGCGTGACTTACTCCGACATTAGCAGTGGGGGTGACTTGTTGGGATGGCTCCTATAAGAACGACGTGAACAATCCAACGTCCGACAAGCCGCTTACAAACACATTGTCAAGAGATATTATAACCAGTGGGTCAAAGAAAAGGCATTTTAGGTGGGGGGGACCATGTACCGAGGCGCAATGAAGCAAGTAGGGACCAACCGCAGGGCAAGCTGGGTCTTGTTTGGGAAGGGTTGTACAAGGTCATCGAAGCCAGTCGCAGTGGAGCATATACGCTAGGAACGATGGAAGGAAGACCGATTCCGTGGACCTGGAATGCGAAAAACCTGAAGAAGTTTCATTTTTAGTACGCCCAGGAGGATCACCTAAAAGAAACGGTTAATGCCAAATACTTAGAGCGCTTAGTCAAATAACTTCATCTCTTATTCAAAATAGCATGGGGTCGAGCAACATTCCTCCCCCACTTCAAAATACTCAGTGTATTCAAAAATAGGAGTTTCATCTATGATACTTGGCGTATTAGCTCCAAAATGTTCAATTTCTTATTTTCATATACTTAGTGTATTAATACTCAGTGTATTGAAAAAATAGGGGCATTATCTATGATACTTAGCATATTAGCTCCAAAATATCCAGTTTTTCATTTTTAATACGTAGTGTATTAATTCAACAATGCTTAGTGTATTGAAACCATAAGTTTATGTCACAGTACTTAACGTATTAAGCCCAAAGAACCAACACAGCAGGATGAGTCTTATCACCCAGTGTATTCGCGTGGCCCAAATAGGCCACAAAGGTTTCGGTACTCAAAACACTTGCGTAACGGAAATAACAAACATATCCGCGTGGAAAAATCCATAATTGATATGAACATGCATTGGAACAACCAGGATAAATAGATTACATAGGAAAGCAAAATACATAAGAACCTACCACAAAAGCAGGACCTGCATGGCCGACATTAACAAACTATTCAATAGCAAGACAATGATTTACAAAGCTTCAAATTTTCTTCACACCCCAAAGAGGTAGCACACAGTACAGAGTACCTTAAGAAATAGGAGGATCAACACTACTAGCGCCATCCTTCAACACTGGATCGCCGACGTCAGAACTGTAGCCACCATCTATACCGTTGCCATCGTCATTACCGCCATCACCATCATCAACACCAACATTACCACCATCAACCCCTCCGCCAACATCAATTAGAATACCCTCAGGGGTTCCTTCAGCACTTTCAAAAGTGAAAAGGTCTCGAATTCCCTGAATGTCCAAGTCTCCCAAACCTAGCAGAGACGTATGATCCATACTAGCAAAAGAAGGAATGGATTCATTGACACTCAAAGCAGCGCATAATCGGGAGTCACTAGCGTTGGGATTATGGGGACTAGAACTCGCCTCAGACACCAAGTTGCTACGACCAAACTTTGCTCAAACAACAAAAGCAACATGTCGAATGAGACTAACGACGTTGGTGAACTCCAGATGTTCAATCAACTTGTCCACAATTCGGACAACACCCATACAAAGCAACCAATCTAAATCACATCGGGTAACCTCGGTAGCCACCTGGATTGTAGCAACCAACTTATCACGATCAATAACATCTCGCTCGAGACTCTCATTTTGGATCATCAATCCCTTGTTTATTTAGGTTTAAGAATCCACTTTTCTTTCCAGGGCATACCGAACCTCTTCCACAGTGGTCTTCTCAGCAGCGAGCAACATGCACTTCTGTTCCAAACCCTGGACATCACTTTCAAGTTCAGTGATGCGGCAACTTAAACCATCCTCATGGACGTTGCATCTTGAATGAGAAGCCTCCATTTCGTTGAGCGATTGAACCCGATGAGCACCTGCAACCAAGTAGAGCATGGCCTGCACAACAGTGCATAACATATTGTGGGAAAGGGCATGACTGCCCATGGGTTCCATGTCAGAGACAGCAGCATGCGGAAACACATGACGGGCGAAATCCACCGCATTGGCACGCACAAACAAACGAGAATCATTATTGAGGCTCCAAGAGGGAAAAATATGTTGGATGCAGAAAACTCCTCAGAGATCCCCTCGCGCGGAGGGGTTTGGTGCCACTCAACTTCACCAACACCCCAAGGGGGAGAAAGATTAGAAGGATTTTGAGGGTCAGATTGGACAAGAACCTCGGACTACTTAGTCTCCCTCTGATTCCCATCAGAATGTTGAATGTCATCATCAGGAATCACAATGATTTCCCCTGGTGTCGAGGACATCGAGTTTAGGAGACGAGTAAAGTTATGCCTCCATTGAACTTACGTACCAATGTTAGGCGCACTGGTAACTGCATTACATGGCCAATACAACTTTCCTTTTGGCGTGCATGCGACGAACATCCGAGATTATACCATCTTTGCTATCTTCAACTATTTCCTTGGAGATGGAGTAAGCACCAGGAGGGGGAACAAGAGTCGAGATAGGGCAGGCAGTCGGAGGAGTTTCCTTGGCCGACACCGACGTTCACTCAGTCACAGGCGGGGTTGGAGTAGTATTAATCAAAGCAAGATGATCAAGGTGGTGGGGAGGAGCGAGATGCTCAACCAAGTCTACATCCTGATGCTCCAGTTTCCCCGGTAACGCTTTCACAATACCTTATCCATGGACAGTGGGAACTCAACACCTGCACAACAAAGACACGCAACCAAAAATGTAATTGTCAAACCATTACACCTCTTCATGACAAAAAAAGAGAAGGGGGAGGGGGAAAAGAGAACAAAAAATTACAACAAAAACACTTACCATCAACAATGGAGTAAAAGGATGTTAGCTTCCCTCGACGCTGCCAAGAAGGGCTCATCCCCACAATAGCAAGCAACGCTTCAGAATAGTCCTTGGGGGCAACTTGGATAGTCTTCAGGAGGTCGGTGATGCTTTGGTTGTAGGGAAACAACTTAGTAGTAACATCCGCAAAGGAGTTTGCACGGTACCTCCTGCTACCCACCAAGCCGTGGTTGACCCACAACCACTTGTCCTGCTAGTTTTTAGGGGGTCCTCCTGTCAGGAACCAGGGTATGTCCTCCTAATCGGACAAAAAAGGTACATTTGTCACCGGTGAACCAGAACCTAAATAAATACTTGAAAACAAAGTAATCAGGGAGAAAACCGTTAGCGCGACTAATCATCTCGAATGCCACCACTTTGTTCACGACGTTGGGGGTAAGTATTTGGACACTACATCCAACCTTCTGCAAAACTTCCTCTTGGAAATCAATAAGAGGAAGACGTAAACCAGCATTGAGAGTCATCAAATAGACACCCACTTTCCCAGGAGGGGGAGAAAGAATCGACAAACCGGGAAATGGAAACTCAACTCCGTCTGTCGGAGAGAGGCCATATGTCTCTTCGAGAAACCTGAAATCTGATTCAGATGGAAGAGTACTAGATTCTCCAGCCATGACAGAAAAAAGAAAAGAAGAACTCTAGAAGAAAGAAAAGGAGGAAGGAGAAGCGATGAGGAAAAAGGAGGTGATAAGAATCCTTATAAAGAGAGGAAAATGTAGGATGTTCAAAATCCCTGACAAAGTGATATAACCGCCTGCCATGAAGAGCAGTCACGTCGCCATTAAAATTGAAGCGGCGGAGGAATAATAAACAGAAACATATATAGTATAGTTGAGTCCAGAACATTGTAGCTAGCACAACAACGCGACAGTGTCTAAGCTCATAACTATATCTAGGATGTACTTGACCCGATTGTAGCATGGTCCTTTTTGGGTTGCCTTCACTAGTGCAATTTGATAGGATGTATTTTAAGAATAAGGTTATTTATGGTTTATTAATATATTACAAGTATAATATGTTAATATGAAATCATATTATTTAATTAGTATTGATCAAGAATTAATTTGGAATTAATTTTGTGGTCAAAAGAGACTAATTATATATATGGGGATTGATTATGTAAATCAATGATTCTTGTAGTGTGGGCCAATGATCTATGATTATGTAGATGGGCTAAAATAATACATGGATAGTCCATGGAGGTTAAATCCATGGAGCATGAGAATATGGAAAGTCATGGGTTATTATGGTTTACAAAGTGTAACCTTAGCATGTGCAACACTATAGATAATCCCTCCTAGAGCCAAAATTGGTTGCCACTTACTTTCCAAGAGGGTGTGGTTGATTTTGTGCTAGTAACCTATTCTCTCAATCCTCCTCTTGCATATTGGTGTTCGTGAACCAATAGAGGCATCACACTTGAGGTGCTCAAGCTTCAAAGGCCAAGAGCCACAAGTCCTTCATAAAGGTATGTTACCAAACTAGTTGTATCATTCAATTGTTCAAATGTATTCTAGTTAGGACAATGTTTTGGAAAAATTGAAAACGCATGTATAATTAGAGAAAACATAGATCCAAAGCATTTAGGGTTGCATGTGCACCATAGGAGTGTTATAGTGCTCAAAACCCAACAGTGGTATCAGAGCATAGGATTGTTTTCTATAATATTTGATGCTTACTAGTTTTTCAAAGCTGGAAAATTCAAAATTTTGGCCTTTGACTGGTGAACTCGTCGAGTCCATGAATAGCTCGACGAGTCCACTCATTAACAGAGCAACTCGCCGAGTCCATGTCATTCACTCAACGAGTTGAAAGCTCTGTTTGAAGAATTTCGAGTTTCTTGGTCTGGTTTGGATTGCGAACACTACCACAAATTGTTTTGGATCATTGGAAATGTTTTTTTTTTTTTTTATGATATAGCAGTGCTTGTACTCATCCAACCCCAAGCTAATTGTCAAAGTTTTAAAAAATAATTGTTGTTTTATATGATAACCAAAGTTGCTTGCAAATTGTTGACTTAGAAGTATCTTGTTTATGAGTTTGGTTAGATCGTGCATGAATTATGTGATAATTTTTGTTGTTAGAAAATGATCTAAATGAATTTTAATGACCTCCAGAACTTGTCCTCAAGTTATGGAAAATGAAAGGTCTCATACATTAAAATCCAATTAAACTCATATGTTATGGAAATTAAAGGACAATCATCAAATATTAAGATAATAAGTTAATTATTTGTATTATTTGAGATGAATTGTCTTGCTATATGAGTTAGATTAGATCAATAGAATATTATATGATAATTTTCCTTGTTAGAATTGATATAAATATTCTTTAATGGGTTCCATAAATTGTCCTCAATTTATGGAACATGAAAAGTCTTAACATAAATGTTTTAATGAACTCCATAACTTGTCCTCAAGTTATGGAAAATCAAGAGCCTTTTCATAAAATCACGATTAACTCATAAGTTATAGAATTGAAGAGTTTTGACAAGTTTCAAAACTTGCCCTCAAATTTTGGAATTTTAAAAGTCTCACTGATGAAACTTTAATTCAAAACCCTAGAGTTTTAAAAGTTAAAATTCAACCCTTATACTATTATTATATTAAAAGTTAATATTTATATAAATGTGTATAAGACAAGTTAGTATTACCATTAGTAGGCGTCATTCATGAAGTCGGTCTATAAGGGGGTATAAGGTTACTGCCTATAAAATGATAGTTTAATGGGTGTCCACTCTCATCCACCGCTTCCTTGACTGGTGGAGGGTCGTTAGCCGAACGGGTAGGATAGGACATTAATTCTCCCTCATTAAAAGTATAATGAAAATACCAAGTAACTAAACACTTATAAATTCCCAATCTTAGTTACTTAGGAAAAATGTGAATTTGGTGCTAACCCATGAAATTGCACTTTGCACCTTGTTATGTCGTTAGTGGAGCGTGTGTGGTTAACCGACACACTAATCTGGGACTGACAATGTGTAGCTTGATGTTAACCATAGATCAATGGAGCGTTGTGGTTAACCAGCACATTGATTAGGTGATCTGTAACATTAGGTGTACCAAGTTAGTTTGCATGGTTATTCACTCCTTGTTTCTGATCCTCAACATCCCAATCACAAAATTGAAGGGCACAATTGAGATTTAAACATGCCATTGAAAAGTTCAACGAATATCAAAGGATCTAGGAATTTCAATACAGTTAAAACTTAATAATTTATTTTGTTTTTCATGGTGGAAATTAGTAAATCGTCATTTACCTACCTTCAAATATTTTACAATTGGATTACGGCATCCCTCTTCGCAATTGTAAAATATTGTGTTGGGTCCTAACCTTAATATTCGTTTTGGGTGTTATATTAAATATAGAAATCAACTAACTTGAATTTCTCCCTTTATAGATTTCTAGGTCTGACAACTATGGTCTTTCTGAATCTGTTGGAAAAGGCTTTCCACATGAAGATGATATTCCACAATATCATACTTCACTTCCTCCACATCCTCCAATTATTCTCCCTGACCCACATGTTCGAAGACTTGAAAAGTTCAAGGTCACTCAGGCCCTATTGGCGACCAAACATGAAGATGGAAGATCTGTGTGTGCACATGTTTTGAAGATGAAGTCACACATTGACATGATAGGAATGTTACGAGTCGATGTCTTAAGGAAGTTGGCTGTTGACTTGGTTCTTCAGTCACTTCCCGAGTCGTATAGTCAGTTTTTTAAAGACTACTATATGACAGACCGCGACGTGACCCTTATTGATCCTACCTATTTGCTAATTGCTACTAAATCAACAATGATTTGATGCACTGGTAAAGCAAATTTGATTGGAAGATCTACTTCCCCAAACTTCCAGGGACATTGACTATGGAAACATTGGAAGTCCAAAAAAGATTTCATTTTCCAAGGGGAAAGGGAAAGGCTAAGTCTGAGATTGTCTCGTGTACGATTCCCAAAGAGTAAATACTTTTCTATTTCCAAAAGAAGGGGCATTGGTTGCAATGTTTCCCTGACTATTTGAGAGATCTAAGAGATGGTATAATCAAATTGCATGGTTCTACTTCAGGTAAGTCAACTATGTAACTCTATTAAGTTCCTACCTGTAGATTCTTAATACATGATGTGATAAGATTACATTTTGATGTTTTGTAAGATCAAAGCAAGCTTAAAGGAAAGGCATGCAGAGTCTGACCGCGAAGAGATGGATTTCGATCACATGGTTCAATGATTAGATTTTTTTGCTGCTGCTTAAGAGTTATGATAGATTGCTTAGAAAATTGTAATAACATAGTTTTCATTTGTAATTGCATTATAAGGAAAAGTTTTTACGCATTTATATAAATAAATAATTTTTTTATCTTATTTTATATTTCCTTGCAATGGCATATGTGAAGATTGATGTTTGTATTTTTTGGCAATATGGATTTGATTCTTTCGTTTGTGGTAGTATCTAAATTTACCAAATAAGGAAAGATTCTTATCAGCCAAGTTTCAATTGGACAAAAACTTGGAATCATGCAACTTGTATTGTATGATGAATGAGATCCTTCATCTTTGGGAAATTAGGACTAAATCCTTGTTCACATATATATGTGAGTCATGTGAAGGACTAGGGGATCAGGTACACTTGGTTGTTCACTGGTCAGGTTCACCACAAAGAACAATAAGACTATTCGTTATGGTTTACTAAAGTTAGTAAATATAGTTATGCTTCCAGATTTAGTATAATTTTGAGTCACTGGAAAGGTCTCAATGTATAGCGGAATGAATAAGAAGAATCAAAGTCGTCAGAAAGATAAAAGTTTCTCCAATCTGAAAAGATGGGAGAGTACTCGAGTATCGTATTTTATGATCATCTTAATGCTTATGAAAACAACATCACAATTTGATCCTCTAAGGACGCCTTAGTGCATTTTTTTGGCTAAGAAGAGGAATCAGGAATTGTTGAAATGGTTAAATCAATTAAGATGAATCATACTTCGTTCCAAAATCAAATCTTAGAGTCATCCTCCAAGATTGTATATTGAGTGACATGTCAGCAAATGTAGAGTAAAATGTTTCTTACTCTTGTACATTTGAAATTGGTAAGTTGTAATGTTCTGGATAAAACAAAGATCAACCAAGACCGATTATCAATAGTGTTTGTATTGATAAGAAACCACATTGAATCTTGAATACTTGTTTGTCAAGTAAATTTTTCTTAACAGAGAGAAACTTATATGTCACGAGGTCAGTGGGAGTCATAAAGATCTTAAAAAGTTTTAAGAACTAATCAAGAGTCAGCCTATTGTTAATCACTAGCACACGACTTGAGGTTTGTAACCTATCGTGTTGACATATTCTTATTTTTTGTGCCCATTCCAGTTAAAGTTGACTATGCATGTGAGTTCTAAGATTTCTCAATTTTTTGCATAGGGCAAAGCACCTTGGTTAGTGAAAGTTCATTGATCAATAAGGATGAGCTACTCAATAACCTAGAAGACATGGTAGACAGTGGTGTTACCGAGTGGCAAGGAATTAAGATAGGTTCAGTCCATATGAGTTTGGATTTATCACTAACTGTGTCTTGTGATTATGGTTTTGACAAATTCACATGGATAGGAACACA